CGGTGAGGTGCAAACTGTGTCCAGGCCAGCAGCTGTTATCCACTGCTGGAAACACCACGTGGTCAAACCTCAACACACACCTGCAAAGAACACATGCTGAGGTGAAGCTAACGCACACGCTATTAGTTGTTTGTTTATATCACGCAGTCTGTTCTTCTTCTCTGTCTTCCGGTTGTTGCCCGTTTTGAATCACAAATACACACTACCGCCGCCTGCTGGTAAGGGAAGTTATTGCCACTCACGCATGCGCAGATCGTACGTGCTCGGCGAGTAAAGTAACGAGTTACTTTTATGTAGATAGTAACGAAGTAGTGTAATATATTACTTTAAAAAAAAAAAAGTAATATGTAATATATTACATTTTTTTAGTAACGACCCCATCTCTGGAGTTGGCGTTCTCTACTCTGATTTACATGAAGAACAACAGGAGGTCACGGCTCTGTTGAACAGGACTTGCGAGTGGCCCTCTCCTCAGCGCCCCGACAGGCACATGTATCTCACTAATTTGTAAGTCGGCAAAATATTTACAATAGCACATGTTTCAATGCTGATTGCTGAAATGTTACATTTATAATGTGTAGTTCAGGACCATGCAGTGCAGCTTCCTTGCATTGACAGTTCTGTGCTGAATTTCGGCTGAGTTTCCTTTGCCTCATTTTTAATGTTGTGACCTGTCTGGTTTAAATGAGTGTGTTGCTGCTTTGATGAAGCCTAATTTGATACAGTTTCAAATTAATTTCTGAAATATTTCGTTAATAAATATTTCATGAGTAATATAGTTGTCTTTGTCACATTTTATTTGGCATTAGTAAATAATTATGCACATTTACAGATATTTTACATGATATGAGTGATAACACGTGTTATAAGGGCTATTTTGCACAATAGGTGTGCCTTGAGATTTTTACTTGTCCTTTGGTGTGCCTTGGGCACAAAAAGTTTGGGAACCACTGATCTAGAGGACAAAATGAAAGAGGGAGCAGGATGTGAAGTCATGTGACCGTGCTGTCGTTCCTTTATAGCCCAACATTAGCCACCTTTAGCTTAGCGGTGGTGACGTGAAGTCATGTGACCGTGCTGTAGTTCCTTTATAGCTCAACATTAGCTTAGCGGTGGTGACGTGAAGTCATGTGACCGTGCTGTAGTTCCTTTATAGCCCAACATTAGCCTCCTTTAGCTTAGCGGTGGTGACGTGAAGTCATGTGACCGTGCTGTAGTTCCTTTATAGCCCAACATTAGCCTCCTTTAGCTTAGCGGTGGTGACGTGAAGTCATGTGACCGTGCTGTAGTTCCTTTATAGCCCAACATTAGCCTCCTTTAGCTTAGCGGTGGTGACGTGAAGTCATGTGACCGTGCTGTAGTTCCTTTATAGCCCAACATTAGCTTAGCGGTGGTGACGTGAAGTCATGTGACCGTGCTGTAGTTCCTTTATAGCCCAACATTGGCCGCCTTTAGCTTAGCGGTGGTGACGTGAAGTCAGGTGACCGTGCTGTAGTTCCTTTATAGCCCAACATTAGCCTCCTTTAGATTAGCGGTGGTGACGTGAAGTCATGTGACCGTGCTGTAGTTCCTTTATAGCCCAACATTAGCTTAGCGGTGGTGACGTGAAGTCATGTGACCGTGCTGTAGTTCCTTTATAGCCCAACATTAGCCTCCTTTAGCTTAGCGGTGGTGACGTGAAGTCATGTGACCGTGCTGTAGTTCCTTTATAGCCCAACATTAGCCTCCTTTAGCTTAGCGGTGGTGACGTGAAGTCATGTGACCGTGCTGTAGTTCCTTTATAGCCCAACATTAGCCTTCTTTAGCTTAGCGGTGGTGACGTGAAGTCATGTGACCGTGCTGTAGTTCCTTTATAGCCCAACATTAGCCTCCTTTAGCTTAGCGGTGGTGACGTGAAGTCATGTGACCGTGCTGTAGTTCCTTTATAGCCCAACATTAGCTTTGTACTTCATAAATCATAAACTGTGGAGATTATCCTGCTGAACAAAACCTGTAAATATCATAAACGTTTGTTTGACACAGAGATTATTTTCTGACACGATGGAGAAATCCCATTGGCTTTTTGTCAAGGGTCCGTCTGCGATGCTAACTTCTACAAAAATATCATCACTGCACCACTTAATATATCATTCTACTCTTATTCCTTTCATCCGTCTGGAAGAAATAAGGCTCTCTGACTTTTGTACCTTTTTACACGCTGGCTGTAACATATGTTGAATCTGAACCAAAGGAGTCGTACGAGTTGCAGACAGAGATAGAGAATCTGACGACTGAACTACATCCGACCTTCTGTTCCTCCGGGCGCTTGTTTGATATGTTCTCCGCGGGGGGGTGAGTATTTATGTGTGTATAAATCACTTGTGTGTCTCCTTAGCGGCGGTATTTATGATTAATGAGGTTGTTTTCTTTCCCCCCCATATGTCAACGCCACATGCAAGTGGGTTCTTTATCATCCATACTAAATGATTTATAGCTACAAGAATAACCAGTGGTGGATTTCAATACGGTGCAAAGTGGGCCTTTTAGTTTGACAATAACAATAAAGTAAGACTGTTTTTATTAGTTTGAAAGTTAGCTTTTTAGTTAAAACAATAAATGCTTTTTTATATTCATATTTTGGATTTTTTTGTAATTCTATTTCATATTATTTAGACTCCAAAGTTGCACAGATAATAACTAGGTTTATTTTTCTATCTATTGGGATCCAAATAATGAAATATATTTACTGCAACTGTGTACATTTATCATGCTACAATTGAACAAAACCCTGTTGAAAAATATTGAAATATCAAATCAAGTTTTATTTATAGCACATTTATAAACAATTGTTGGTGGAGCCAAAGTTCTGAACATATAATAAAAATAGCCTACAGTAGAGACACTTTACAGCAAATACAACAGCACAGATTGTTCAGAATATCAGTATGAGAAAAACGACACCCTCTGTCCTTAGACCCTCTGTCCTCAGACCCTCGGTCCTCAGACCCTCGGTCCTCAGACCCTCGGTCCTCAGACCCTCTATCCTTAGACCCTCTGTCTTCAGACCCTCTGTCCTTAGACCCTCTGTCCTCAGACCCTCTGTCCTCAGACCCTCTGTCCTTAGACCCTCTGTCCTTAGACCCTCTGTCTTCAGACCCTCTGTCCTCAGACCCTCTGTCCTTAGACCCTCTGTCCTTAGACCCTCTGTCTTCAGACCCTCTGTCCTTAGACCCTCTGTCCTTAGACCCTCTGTCTTCAGACCCTCTGTCCTTAGACCCTCTGTCCTCAGACCCTCTGTCCTTAGACCCTCTGTCCTTAGACCCTCTGTCCTTAGACCCTCTGTCCTTAGACCCTCTGTCCTTAGACCCTCACATCATACAAGGAACAACTTCCAGAGAAAACCCACAGTTTAAAGGGAACATGGGAGAAACCTCAGGGAGAGCAACAGAGGAGGGATCCCTCTCCCAGGACGGACAGACGTGCAATAGATGCCGTGTGTAAATCCAAGAGATAATACATTTTACAGCATATAGACCGAATGTTAGGAAATGCATGTGTCTGTAATAAGAAGATGAATCCACGAGGATGTCAGCTACAATCCTGTGGGAGCCATCAGGGAAGCAGCATGACGAGACCCAAGGCAGGACCGCAGAGACAGGTTCAGCCACGACCCGAAACGTCCACGACTTAATCCAGAACTCAGGATAGAGGATCCAAGACACAGGACTACAGTATATATAATATAGTAAATATTGGAACGGATGCTTTATTAAGTTGGTTTGAAGTTAATTAACTATGTCTTGATGTATTATTTGAGTATTCTCTACGTTATAGTATCTACAAAGTCATACGGTGTATTTGGGACCAAGTTCTGCAAAGCAGATTGTTAAAATGACTTGCATTGGTTCTTTACATTTGGAAAAATGTTAGTGACGTTTTTTTAAGATCTGATTTATATCGATGTGTGATGTCTTCTTGTAAACCCACGCTGTGCAGATATGTGTTTACATTTGTGAAAAGCCTCCGAGAGCCAAGTGTAACCGAGGCATTAGCCTACTTCCCTTTAATTAGTCGGAACAAACAAATTAACACGAGTGCAGCTCCTCGGCTGATTTAAATCAAACGACGGTGAGGGAGGCTGTGTCCTGAAAACAACCCTTTACCCTTTAGAGCAGCTGAGTCTAACTCACAGGAAGATATCTATTAGCTTCTGGGATTAGTTTCAAGAAAACGTGTGACCTTTGAACGAACATCAGCAATATTCATCTGTTTGCAACTTACACATTATTTAACTAATACATCACAGGGTCTCTGCAGGAATCCTGAAGTCAGATGGAAGACCTTTTAAGACCTCATCTCATCATGAGTTCTAACCGGTTACCTTGGCGACACACTTTACCTCACATTGACTGTATACAGTATTGATTGTCCTTCCTCCTTATCTTCCAGCCATTTGGACGCAGACTTGCATTTCCCCATAACGATGTTGCTTAGCAACCGGCGTAAACGGACCTTCGCGCTATCAAGCAGTGAGCGTGCGATGTCCTGTTCAGATGACGTCACACCCAACGGGATGCCATCAATAAACTACACAGAATCACACTACACACCTACGCCATGACTACATTCAGGCAGACTGCAGAACACAACCTCTCTGGACCATTTATATACTTATTGGAAAACAAGCTACAAAATGTAACACCTTGGAAAATGCCGTTTAATACTTTTAAATAGCCTTCATTTTCGCTAAATTGATTGATCAACTTGTAATACTTTTTGAGACCCGGCGGACCCCCTGTATCATATTCCAATTACTTGCGTTTATTACGGACCCAGAATCATCACTTTAGTAACAGGCTGAAACAGAGGGGTTTGAGGCTAGAATTATCTGTTTGGTATTTCGAGCAAAAAACACTTCATAGACATGTTTTCTATATATTTTGATATATCTGAGACCTATAATATATGCCTAATAGGAGACCTTTAAAGTGTGCGGACGAGCTCCTTGAGTTCGATCTTACCTTTTCCATCTCCACGCTCTTCCTCTTGCGTGACGACCGGGTGATTTTGACGGTGACGGAGTTTTCCTCTCCTTGGCGCCTCAGAGCCAGGCGGTTCGGCTGCAGAGGGCTGAAGGAAATCTCCATCTCCGGCCGAGGGAAACGACTCATCCTGCCGTTCTCCGTGGAAATCTCAGAGGCGTCCAAAACTGACGGGTAGCCATTGGAGCTCTGAGGGGAAATGGTGGGAAATACTGAATGTAAAGCAAGGCAAGTTTCTTTATATAGCACCTGCAGGTTTCTGGTAGTTTGTTCCAGATATTTGGAGCATAATAACTGAACTTCTCCAGTTCTGACTCTGAATTATTACATTTCCATTCATTCTGGCCAATCCACTGGTGCATCCTTTGAGCTTTTATTTGTAGCCGTCATTATTGTGCTGCAAGTGTTAAAGTCAATCTGTTATCTTATCCCAATTGTGGCTGAAATGTAATTATAAAATATATCCCACTAGTAAAGATAATGTCTAGATTAATGAAGTTTATAACTATTAAAAAATGTCCTTACCTGGCTGCTGACGGACAGTCTGTTGTCCCGCCTTCCTCCTGACTTCCTCTTGATGCCTTCACTCTGGGGTTTCCCAACCAATGTTGCAGGGCTTTCGCTTTCAGTGGTTTTGATCTGTTAGAGGCAGAATAGGAGTAGTTTAAAATTATGTTGATGCATTAAAGCTTTATTCAAATGCGTTATCTTTCTACAGTTATAGATGGATAGAGAGATAGAGAGATAGAGAGATAGAGAGATAGAGAGATAGAGAGATAGAGAGATAGAGAGATAGAGAGATAGATAGATAGATAGATAGATAGATGGATAGATGGATAGATGGATAGATGGATAGATGGATAGATGGATAGATAGATAGATAGATAGATCGGTAGGTAGAGGTATATAGATAGATAGATAGATCGGTAGGTCAGCAGGTCTCTCGCTCGATCGCTCGCTAGGTCGGTAGAGGTATCTCGATCGATCGCTCGCTCGGTCGGTCGCTCGCTCGCTACGTCGGTCGGTAGGTCGCGGTCGCTCGCTCGGTCGCTCGCTCTCGCTCGGTCGGTCGGTCGCGGCGCTCGCTCTCGGTCGCTCGCTCGCTCGCTCGGTCGGTCGGTCGCGGTCGCTCGCTCGGTCGGTCGGTCGCTCGCTCGCTCCTCGCTCGCTCGCTCGGTCGCGGTCTCGCTCTCTCGCTCGCTCGCTCGCTCGCTCGGTCGGTCGCGGTCTCTCGCTCGCTCGCTCGCTCGGTCGGTCGCGGTCTCTCGCCTCGCTCGCTCGCTCGCTCGCTCGCTCGCTCGCTCGCTCCGTCGGTCGCGGTCTCTCGCTCGCTCGCTCGCTCGTCGGTCGCGGTCTCGCGCTCGCTCGCTCGCTCGGTCGCTCGCTCGCTCGCTCGGTCGGTCGGTCGGTCGGTCGCGGTCGCTCGCTCGTCGCTCCTCGCTCGCTCGCTCGGTCGGTCGGTCGCGCGTAGCTCGCTCGCTCGGTCGCTCTCGCTCGCCTCGCGGTCGGTCGGTCGTCGGTGCGGTCGCCTCGGTCGTCGCTCGCCTCGCTCGCTCGCTCGCATCGCTTCGCTACGGTCGAGGTCTCATAGCTAGCATGACGAAGTAGGTAGGTAAGATTAGGTTAGGTAGAAACTCACCTGTGTTTCCTCCTGTTTGATGTTTGCAGCATCGAGCTCTTCCTTCAGTCTCAGGATCTCAGAGTCTCGTTCAGAAAGAGCCGCTTGAATCTCCGCCATGACACCTTCACCCTCAGCAGACTGAAACAGGAAGTTAACGGACGTTAGGTTTTCTGTTGCTAACCCATCCTCTCATAAAAAACCTGTAGTATTTTGGATCCTGTAGTATTTTTGACTCTTTATTTTAAATGATACAGAATATTTTATATTGTTTTTTTATATTGTTTATATTTGATATAATATTTTTCATTTTATTTGTAATAATTCTATTTTTCAACTTTTTTAGGTATTTTAAGTATTGTCTTTTAATGTCTGAACACACTTCTGCGACGAAACAATTTCCCAAATTTGGATCGATAAACCAACCAACCAAACAACCAACCAACCAAACAACCAACCTACCAATAGATAATGATGATTTATTTTTATAGATGACTGAAATGTGGAAACACGTTGATTTTCTGAACGCTCATATCACTTTTTTGCCAAAAGACGTTAATTAAACTCAATTTCTGGTCAGAATTTAGGTCATGTATATCTGAATGAAGCGTGTTTTTATCAGTGGCGAACCGTCAGGGCCTTCAAGGTATTCAGAGAATACCCTGGAACAAATCGATTTAATTATAGAAATAAAATGAATAAATGAGAATCGTATCCGTGTTGTTGATCTGTAATATTACAGTGTTACGTTGATTTGTTTGTCCTCTCAGACCATGCTACGCATTTCAGTAGAAAAGAAAGCAACCAATCAGATCTTGTTCTGGGTCTCTGGGTAGAATATCCTTCACCAAGGTATTCTGTGGGGGGTGTGTGTGTCTACAGAAGGTCCAGTTGTGATGGCCACAGTTCGCCACTGGTTTTTAATCTATTGTCTAACTTACTTTCTGTCAGTGTCAATATCAACATTTTATCATTAACTTAGCTGTATATATAAAACACGTGTATATTTGCCTCAACACAACAAAACAGGGCATCAGGTGTGATATGTTGGTACTGAACAGTTTACTTATACCTGTTTTTATGGGCAAAATAATGTTAAATTGGTGCACTAGATATAAAAGTTCACCACCTCGTACTTATTGGTGTGCCTGCATTACATTTGAAGGTATTTCCAAGCACCGCATGCACAAAAACGAGGAGCAGAGAATGAAAAAGAGCCCTGCAGTGTGGATATGTCACTGCTGTATCGAGTTGTCCTTCATATCCTCCGTGGATTCCCAGATAAAGACGCCAGGCATAAAATGAGCGGCTATTATCCGTCCAATTTCTAAATCAATACGGCTCTAACCAGACATGAGCGGAGCGTCAATTTGATTTGTGGAATCCTTACAGCCTGCCCTTCACACCGGCTGTTCTGCAGCTGCGTGACAGATAGTCAGAGGGTGTCGTATTGTCATACTGATATTTTGTACAAACTGTAAAGTCCACTGAGACAAATGTAACATTTGTGATATTGGGCTATATAAATAAACATTGATTGATTGATTGATATGTCATTCTGAAAAAGCTCACAGAAGCTCAGCGGGGAAATGTTATGCAACGCATCGGAAACAGAGATGTTAACGGAGCTGAGTCACCAGCAAACACACAGAGCAGGAAGAAAAGAAAAAGACCTGACGAGTGGAAGACGTTATTGACCCAAACGCCTGGAAAGCTGCTCAAAAGTTTAAGAACATCTGCCGCCATGTTCACTCGCAGAAAAGGGTGTTCTTCTATAATGTATCTGGTTCTGTTGAATTGTGTTTTCTGTTGGCTTCTATTTCTCAAGACTTTGACCAAAATAATCTGTAGAACTTTGGCAAATGTAAGTCTCTCTGGCAGCGTTTCCGCTAGGGTGGCGTCTTGCCGCCCTTATTCAGCTCGGAACGCCCTGAACTCGAGCTGAGGGCGTCCAAAAAAATAAATAATTTGAGAGAAGATCGAGAGTTTTTAATCGCTTGAAATGACGAAAAGAACAAGGACATCCCTCTGTTGGCAAAGGAGTTTGGTGGGATTATATTTGCTGCCAGCAAAGTGTTCCTGTGACGGAAAGTGTACTGCCGGCGAGCCTTGACGGGGGGTGCTAGAGGAGCACGCGCGTGAACTGCGAGCGCCGGAGCCTCGCAGCGGAGAAACTGAGGCTCCGTGGTAAACTGTGGTAACATGAAGAGCCGGCGCTTCTTAGTGAGCCGAGCCAAATGAATTCCCATCACTAATACGTAAAGAGATAATATCTATAAGGGACGGCTCAATTAAAAAATCAAGTCACGTGACAAGACGTGACGTTTCCCCCCCCCCTGCTCTCGGGGTGGACGCCCTCTCACCCCTGGTCTGGCGGAAACACTGCTCTCTGGTCAAATTGTCTTGTGTAAATAATTCGCCTTAAGCACAATTTGGATATTTGGATATGACCGTATGTTCTTTTTCCCTGCCTAACATTTGGGTGCGTTCTTGCAAGAGATCTTATTTAAAAAAAAGTTGAAATAACACTGAATGAAACCCTTGTTGCTTCAAACTCTCAGTGTGCAAAAGTGACAAAGCACACTACTAGGATGTCTCAAACTACTTTTTCCTGAAGGTGAAACAATCCAATAAAAGCCATAACAGGAGGAATGATATCTGGACATACGAGCATGTGTCCTCCCTCTCTATCTCTAAATGCTCCTGGTCAGTCGCTTCGGTGTAAAAAGCAGACCCTTCTGACATCTTCAGTGTGTGTTATGCTAGATCAAATCTGCACACCTATGTAAATATATTAAACATGTTCATACAAATGCTCAACTTCTTACTCTGATATCCCGTTTCAATAGTTACTGTTATGGCAGAATCCTTATTACAACGTGTTTCTGGCTTAGTTATGAAGGTAACAGAGGTCAGAGAGGCTCCATTAGCCACTTTCACACCAAGTACTTTGCCGCACTTAGTTCCCAGCACTTAGTTCCCCCATGGAACTAAGAGCCGATCGCGTTCACACCGGAATAAGTTCCCTGAGGGAGGATTAGGCAAATGAAGCCGCTGACGTCACTTCTTCTTCTTCTGCTTTGGGTTTACTGGCAGGCCGGAAGTCCCCGGAGTTGGGGAAGGCCTTCTTCAGAGTAAATCGCCAGAACGCCGACACCTCCTCATCTCCACCGTTGCCATAAGTTAGTCTCTCTGCGTTGGTGCGCGGGGCTAATGCTAATAATGCTAATGCCAACAAATACAATGGCGGCTTCACAAAACTTTTCAGAGTTTTACGGGGCGTGGTTTGCAATTCGGCCAGCCAATAGAAATTGGTACTTTGTTCTCCCCAGGAAAGTCCCACCTCTCCAGCAGGCACTGAAAAGGGGCGTAAAAGTTCTCTGAACTAAGTTCTCTTTTTGGTGTGAACGCAAAATCCCAGGAACTATCGGAACTAAACGGGAAAAGTACTCCGGTGTGAAAGCGCTTATTGTGTCTTCCGCAATTATCAGCAGATGTACCCGTTGTGTCCTTGGGCCCCGAATTTGCTCCTGTGGGTATTGTCCACAGTGGATGACCATTACATGTATGATCTGTATGTGTAATGTGTATTTGTAAAGCGCTTTGAGAGTCTTTGATAAAGCGCTATAATAAATATAAGGATTATTATTATTACCCATGTTAAGTAAATTGGCAAAGGTCAGAGGAACTCCAAGAGAGGTCTTCCTCAGATATAATACAGTTAAAGCCTAAAGTTAGTGGTTCATATCCAGCATGCATTAGCTAAGAAACGATAAGGATGTTGGTGTGTTGGTTAACGTAAGGAAAATTGTATGTGGTCATGTGCAAACACATATATAGTTTGTTAACTGGATAATTCCTATCCTGCAAGACTCCTAAAGACGTCATGAGATGATGACCTTTCTACATCTGGAACATGTCCAAGTTTAGGAGACCTGACAATGTGTGTGCGTTAAACATGATTAGGGAAAATGTTCGTGTGTCATTTAGGAAACCTATATCTGCCCTCTGTTTCTTGTGTTCGTGTAGTGCTGCGTACCTGGACTCACATTCAGGTTCAGGTCCGGACTCAAGTCCAGAGGTTCAGGTTCAGGTCCGGTTCGGCGTACCGGTACGCAGCACTATTCGTGGGGCATTTCCACGATTTGCTGCTGTGGCAGGAGGTGATGTACTCCAAGATTATTGTTGTTGTTGCGCAACTGAATAATAATGAATCTCAACCATGTCTGTGTTTGTGTTGTATTGACCTCTCTCTCTCTTAACATTACTTTATCATTTTATCTTTATTTTTGCGTGTGTGAATCCTGTTTTCAAACTCTCACACTGCTGCTGCCACAAACTCCTGAATTTCCCCAAGGGGATGAATAAAGTTCCATCTAATCGTATGTTCTTTGTGTTGCACTGACCTCTGCTGGTGTGTGTGTGCTCTTGCTCTGCAGCTGCTGGATGAGCTTCTCGTTCTCCACTTGGCTGGAGAGCAGCTTCTGTAACTGGACATCCAGAGCTGAGACTATAGTGTCTCTCTCCTTCCTCCATCTCTCCATCAGCTGCTCCTTCTCCGCCAGCTGGGAGGACAACGACTCCTGGGAACACAGACATGAAGATGCAGGAAAACGTGAGGGGTTTTGTTCTGTATTGTTAGTGTGTGTGTGAGGGAGAAAGACATACAAAGAAATGTAGAATATTATAGTCTTGTGACCATGTTTTATCCTCCGTACGGTGGCCTTTTAGGACATTTCACCTCTATTTGATTGGGGTTACCTAAAAAACACTTTTCTCTGATTATTTACATTTTTAAAGGAGGGCTTTCTGGGCTCGCCATCTTCTAACGTTACACTCAGTAACAACTTATTTCTTTGCTGCTCGACAGTTGTTGGACGACTTCGCTGATCACCATTATCTTAAAATTGGCATCGTAACTTCGCCTCTCTTGTTTATTAACTCGCCTACTTTTGATCCACTTTGTTGGAGTTGGTCTGTGTCTCTCCATCTCTCCTGTTTTACATTTTGAATATGTAAAACAATAATAAAAAAACTAGGGCTGTCAAACGATTAAAATGTTTAATCAGATTAATCACAGCTTAAAAATTTAATTAATCAGATTAATCACCATTCCAACTATGTCCAAAATATGCCATTTCTTTATGTATATTGTTGTGGGAATGGAAAGATAATGAAAGAAGGCGGATATATCCATTTAACACAGTATCTATGTTTATTATAAAAAATGTCTGCGTGTCAAAATGAAAGACAACCCACACACCTATCAATCATCAAACCGTGGGGTCTTAATTCATTACGTGTTGATTTCTATCAACGGGGGAGTACTTCAGGAAAGTCGACAGAGGGGGGGGGGGGGGGGGGCTAGTGGAGTACTTCGTGACCACAGAGTGTGAACGTTGTGATCAGCTGTTTTAGCGCAGTTCTCCAGTGAAGGGGGGGGGGTCTCCCTCCGCAGCCGGTTGGCGTAGTTTTGGCACAGTTCCGTTGTCCAGACCGACGTTAACAGCAGCCCTGTCTGTGCACACGGAGACCGACTCTGTCGTCCGGTGATCTAACCGCCTTCTGGAAAAGCTCCACAAGTACGTCGGTACGCAAATGCGCTTTGTAACACAAGTGACGGTACGCATTTCAGATTACGCACATAACCTGCGTACCAGTTATGTGCACCCCTGTACTACAGCAAAAGTATTCTCCGTCGGGACTTCCTGCAACAACACCACGCCCTTATCAAAGATGTTCTATTGAGAAGACGATCACTACGTGACAAAAGTTTTCAAAACCGTTTCTGGTCTTCGGTATTTCCAGACAAGAGGCTGAAATCAATCTGACTAACTGCTGTCTGTGCAATTTACTCCGCGAGTTGGCGGACTTTATTTTGCTTCCTTTAACATCATTGTTCATTGTGGGGCTAAGCCATTTCTTGGTATGGGTGTAGCCTACCCCAGCCATACCCTGGCGCTGCCACTGGTGGCACGTATGGGGCGGTCCATTCTGCACATGCGTTAAATGCAATGAATTAAAAAAATTAATTACCGCCGTTAACGTGATAATTTTGACAGCATTAAAACATAAAATAACAATAATAATGAAATGCATCATGAGAATTATGATACTGTACAAACTTAAGCAGTGTCAAATTGATAAGCAAAAATATTACTGACTAAATTATATATAAACAAATGATTTACTTAATTACACATCCGAAAAGGGGTGGGAAGAAGTTTACACTTATTTAATCCGACCCTGTCTTCCAAAAACTAAATTATTAACATATATATATATATTTTATGTTGCTGTGTACTGTTGCTTTAAGACAGTGTCTCTCTGGGGGAACACTCGTTTGGTGCGATCGGTTGTTGTGACTGTGTAATCACATCGAAAAGTCTAGACCCCGAATATAAGGCGACCCTTCTTTTTCAGATTTTTGTCTAGGAAAGAAAAACCCGTCTTATATCCGGGTCACTACGGTAACCGTCATGAGTCTAAACAAGACGTTTTAAAGCTGCAGGTTGACTTTATCTCAGCTGTGCTTCAAGGTGATGGCATGTTTTGATATGTATTTATTCAAACAAGGACAAAGCATACAAATACATTAATCTCTGAAAAGAGATTAATTATGCTAATTTTGAGGCAGGTACTCAACAATCAACAAACACTAAAAACATTGCATCACCTCTATCACACAAACAGTTATAAAACATGATACAGTATCCTCGTGTTCCTACCAGCTGGCTCTGCTGTCGGGCGTGCCGCTCTCGGTCTTCAGCGAACTTCCTCATCTCCTGGTTCCTCTTGTCCTCCGCCTCTTTAGCCTGGCCAATCAGGAGCAGCTTCTCATCGAGCCACTTCCTGCGCTCGCTCTGATGTTTCTCCGCACACAGCTGGTAGACAACAAGGAGGAGAATCTGTTTAACACAGGGGGGTCAAACTCAAGGATTTGGCCCTCGACCTCATTTCACGTGGCCCTCAAGAGCTCGGAAGAGAATATAATAGGTTTATTACACGGTGACATGGCGCTTTACAGAACCATGTTGCCCATAAACGACATGTCCCACAATGCATCTCATTTTGTGACAAACGCACTGAAGAGACTTGCAATCATTTGTCCGTAGACTTCTGCTTTCAGACGCAGTTAATTATGAAGTTGTTACCCTATCCGATAATAACCCAATGCAGAGGCAATAATGTAATATAATACTCTATTTTATATATAAGTATATTTGTATAGTCTGATGCTGCGTTCACACCGGACGCGATGCGATTTTTGGGGGCGCAAATTCGCTCCGACAGCGAGCATGAACCGGTTGATGCGAATTCCGCGGCGCGATTGAGGCGATCGAAGGGGCAAACGCTCAAGTTCAATTTTTTCAACTCGAGCGCCAAATTCGCGTGACGCAATCTCGCGGTAGCCAATCAGCGATGAGGATCTCAGTCTGCCGTCACTGACGTTCAACCAGAAAACCATAAGATCAGCCGTTAGCTCTTAGCACTCAGAGCTCACAGCTCCTCATATCTGTTCAGAAACTAGACAGAAGTTAAACAAGTACAAACCACAGACTGCCTGTGTCATGGCGAATACAGTCGCTGGTTTATTTATGTCTGGAGGCCGTTGTTGTGAGTGTGGACGGTCTGAGCATATACTGCGTTAGCTTAGCCAAGCTACATTTAGAAAACACGCATTTTAAAAGGTGTTTCTCTGCCGTCTGTCTGCAGACTTGTCAAAGCATTAATTCATGGTTCTTACTAACCGGTATCAGTATGTTGTTACTTCGGCATCATTTTGAAACGTGTATTACAATGAAATCACGGTCAAATATGTTCATTTTCTTGTAGTTGTAGCTCCCGAGCCAGCGCGTCTTGTTTGAAGATGCGAGTAAACACAGGTGACAGCCGCGGTGAAAATCGAGCGTTTAGAGCGATGCGAATATTCGCTTCCGGTGTGAACGCAGCATTAAAGTTACAGGCCCTTTGAGTGCAACCATAACGCTGATGTGGCCCGCCATGAATTTGAGTTCGACACCCCTGATTTAACATGTGGATTGAGCTAAATCCCAAATGAAATGCGTATATATAAAGAAATAGTCTTCCTAGTTGTTATTAAAGAACTTCAGCACATGGAGTATAAGTGTGTGTGTGTTGTCTGGTTGCTTTGAAATGAGATATTTAAGTTTAAAGACATTTTTTACATTTTTACGAGGAACGGTGATTTAGAAATAGTGTCGAACCAAATTTGTGGACATTTGACAAAGATAAGTGACAGATTATTGATTTATCAAACTTGTAAAATGTGTCCTTCGTTACCTTGAAGCGTTCCTGTGACTGGGCCACTTCCTGTTTGGCCCGTTTGAGGTCATCCGATTGGCCGGTTGTTGGATCGTTTGCATCGTTTCCACGGCGATCCTGCTGCAACAACATCCCTCTCAACTTCTCCACCTCTGAAACCAGAGAAGAAGACACAGAAAATGTTGTTTTAATCAGGATCAGGATTTAGTCAAACTAAAATGTAGAAAGACAGCTCGAGAACTATTTAAAATATCAAAATCACAAAGGTCACGGTGAACAGGTGAGTTTTTAATGAAGACTTGAAGCAGCATGTTTTGTGCGATAAGACAATCAATGCTCTGTTTTGGCTCCTTACCGCTGGAGAGCTCCTGGATGACGGTGAGTTTCTCCTCCAGGACGGTTTCCATCTGGTCCTGCGTCTCCTCCTGCTCCGTCAGAGCCAGACGCATATCCTCCATCACACGCTGCGTGGCTTCAAGGTCTAGAAACACACACACACACACAGATGTGCAGATTTACACACAGACAGAATTACCCAAAATAAACACCTTGCTCCATCACAGCAAAACAGGTACTACTAAATGTAAAGATACATCTCTTTCAACACAAAGGACGGATTGCTCACTCACAGTCACACACACAGTCACACACACAGTCACTCACACAGTCACACACACAGTCACTCACACAGTCAGTCACACACAGTCACTCACACAGTCAGTCACACACAGTCACTCACAGTCACTCACAGTCACTCACAGTCACTCACACAGTCACACACACAGTCAGTCACACACAGTCACTCACAGTCACTCACACAGTCACACACACAGTCACACACAGTCACACACAGTCACACACACAGTCACACACACAGTCACTCACACAGTCACACACACATTCACTCACACAGTCAGTCACACACAGTCACTCACACAGTCAGTCACTCACAGTCACTCACAGTCACACACACAGTCACACACACAGTCACACACACACAGTCACACACACAGTCACACACACAGTCACACACACAGTCACACACACAGTCACTCACACAGTCACTCACACAGTCACTCACACAGTCACTCACACAGTCACACACACAGTCACACACAGTCACACACACAGTCACTCACACAGTCACTCACACACAGTCACTCACACAGTCACTCACACAGTCACTCACACAGTCACTCACACAGTCACTCACACAGTCACACACACAGTCACTCACACACAGTCACTCACACAGTCACACACACAGTCACTCACACAGTCACACACACAGTCACACACACAGTCACTCACACACAGTCACACACACAGTCACACACACAGTCACTCACACACAGTCAGGGCTCGAGCTTAAGGACGTCCCGTCGTCCCGGGGCCGAAAAAAATAGTGTCGGGGAGGATACAAAATTATTTTGGGACGAATTTGGGACGAGAGTTAAAATAAAAATACCCTGCTAAATGTTGTGTAAATATTTTCCAAGGCCCATAACTTTGACCCAGTGTATCAGTTCAAACTGTCCTGACTGAGCACAGGCACCTGTAACCTTGGCTGCTGTGCTCTCTGTGTTCTGTCTCCCTGCTCCTGCCTGATGGCGTCAGCTGATAGAGGTGTTATCATTCTATCTTGTTATGCAGCATGTTGATGATGCTCTCTGAACTAGCTAAATACATGGGTCTGGGGTAGAGTTCTTCAGAATTGACGTGGCAACTCTACCGTGAAGTCAGAACCTCTGACTCTTGGACTTGTGATGTGAATCCTCCGGCCGTTAACTCCAAATAAACCATCATGTGTTTGACATCAAAGCTACTGCTCTTCCCGTGTCTCCTTCCTGAGTCGGTGACTCCCACTGCATAGCTACACAGAAGTTTCCTCTACAGATTGGCGTTGTCGGCAGGATGCCAACAGATCTACAGAGCTGGTAAGTGTGATTTTCAAATCTACTTTGGACATGGCCTTACCAGAATCTGTGATTGACGGTATCCTAAAATTACCTGTGAAACTGATCGGCTGCGTTTCCTTTTGGTTAATGAACATTTGGGGATAGATAAACCCAGGAGATCAGTGTCTGGGGACTCAGTCCTGGCTGATTTCCTCTGTGTGTGCTGCTCGGGACGGAACTGCCATACAGGCATACACAGCTCATGTTTAGAGAGACCTTAAAGAAGGGGCATCAGTGAGGTGGAGCTTCTGTGTGAATTGAAAGCAATGTAAAAGATTTGTACTGGACAAATCGCCGGATTTTGAGGGTCTTAGCGGCCGAACATAGCAGTTGAAAATAAGCAGCCAGAGATATTTACTGCTATCACCTCTCTGTAAAAACACGGCTCCAGCTGCAGCCTTGCGTGTGTGTGTGTAAAAACCTCACCGCGTGTGTGTGGGGCTGGAGCAGTGCAGGCTGAGAGGGAGAAAGTCACAGCTTATTGCCTATAGGTTTTAACTCACGGCACCACCGTCCTTCAAACGGGACGGTCTAAAAGCACTCGTTGTTTAGGACCGCTTTCCTCATGGTTAGACGGGCCAGCGAGAAGTGCGTGCATCACCCGATGCGCCACGGCTCTCTGGAGCAGGTGGCGGTCAGGAGTGCATACATACAATTATAGGCTAATTGATCAGAGGTGTGTAGTGGCAAGCAAGCATAGGCAAACTGTGTTTCACCTTGAGGTGAACTCGATGGCTAGTAGATATAGGCTGGTCGTACGGACTACAGTCAACTGAGCTGTTTGGAGAGAAGGGGAAAAGTCTGTGGGCTCCGATCGGGGGGGCACAGCGCCACTAGAAACAGATAGCCTAGTGGTTGTCGCAAGAGGATAAGCTAGTTATCGTTCTTGGACGGCTTTCAGGCACCGATAAATCACTTGTATGCAAGGGTAGACGTGAGAAGACGCCGCACTGGAGAGAATTCCCCCCCCCCTCTAAGATCTCTAAAATCCGGACTAAATTGAGCTGAAGAGCTTTGCTGTCGCGCTGGTGTTTATTACGAGTTCATGTTTTGTTTGTCTGATTGTTTGTATGGGGGTCTATATTGGTTTGTCCCGCCGTCTTGTGTATGTTTTGTAACAATAATGAATCAGTCCATAGACAGGGTAACATGAACTAAACATTAATTATCTCACCAAAAGTAAATGACCTGAGAAAAATAAAGAGTGTTTTTATGTCCTGCCTCTGAGTGCAGGGGAACATGTAAACAAGAAGCCCACTGTTCAGGGTGAGCGCTAGGTGTAAGAAGAAAATAAGATTATATTGCTTTAAGAATCCATTCTTAGATGGTATTGCTGGTATGTTAAGATATCTTTGTGACCTTGTATAAACCCTATGCCCGTCCTGCGCCCCGAGACCCTCAGAGACCTGCCTGAGGAGGTCAGGGTTGCAAAATCTGTTTTTAGGTCAATGTTGTATTATTTGTTTCATTTATTCTTAATCTATGTATTGTATAGTAATAATGAATAAAAACCTAATGTATTGAACACATTCCGAAACAAAGCAGATAAGCAGAACTAGACTCAGACATAATACTAATTGTTGTTGAAACCTTTTGCGCTGTTGCAGCAAAATGGAATCTGTGTTAATTATTCTGTTCCAACTGGCCACTGGAGTCAGGTAATTAATATAAGTTGAAGTTCAATTACAGTTTTAAAAATAGTTTAACATTATTTATTAAACTGCTTCAAATTATTTCTAGTATCAACCAATTGGTCTCCATAGACAATACTAACATTAAAATAGTTGTTAAACTACTGACAAGTTTTCTGAAACCGAGCTTATGAACAACAGAGTAAAGGTCGCTGGTTAAGCCAGGATCAATATATTTGTTGACGTTTTTATTGTGTGCATAATAAATGTGTTAAATTAATTGAGCAATTCTTTAAAAGTATAATGTTGCAATTTCTTTAAAATAAGTAATTACAGTTAAAAAACAGATGTTGTTTTCCAAGGGCCTCTCTTTCACAGGCACTTTGAATCATAACACTTCCCAAGTCCTACAGAGATCAGTATCACTTTGTGTTGCAAGCCAAATCCAGGGGTTCTACTCGAGCCCAATTTTAAATACCATAAAGAAAAGTATTGAACCCAGCTCGAGCTAAGTGAGAATGTATTTAATTAATGTGCAAGTGTTTTGATTTATTTAAAATGTTCCAGTCTAGCTTCCTTCGAGTTTAGTGTAAACAACAGATTGGTTCTCATAACATTCTCACTGCTGTGCTGTCCCAAATGTTTTAAACCTTGGGCAGACAAGCACACACACACACACACACTTTGGATGAGTAATCACTTCATCCAAATTGTAAATTGTTGCCTTCTTTAAAGTTATTAGTAATTCAAGATTAATTACTAAATTAAATTAGGTACATAACAATAAACAAAATAACTTTGACTTGATCATTTTGTTCACGACATTAGACCTTGTCCTCTAATCTCTACTAGAATAAGATAAGTGTGCATGTTTGGGTATTTTAACACTCCTGTAATGTACCTAATCTTCTTATCCTTTTCATTACAGAGCTGGGGAAATGGTGTATTGCTTAGATTCGGATCCGTGCAAAGTCCAATTATGACTGACTTTAGTTCTAATGTTAATTTAATTTCAACCCATAAGTAATTATTTAGATGAACTCAACATTCCACATGATGATGGATTAGTGCTCCACATTTTTCCCACTAATTTGTTTATGCAATTAGGCCAATGGTAAAGAGAGACATTGATGACCTTGTGTCCCTTTTGTTGGTACGTGGTTCCATTCTGTCTATGGCCTTGGACGGCTTCACTAAGAATCACCCAGTTCTACCCTGCTACAGTCCGGCTGAGTGCAGTCACAGAGATGCTATGGCTGCTCTACATGAAATGACATTAATGGTCTGGTCTGAGAATGGACACCATTACCTGCTTCCAGAGACAATGCCGCTCCTCAAACTGAACAATACTGTCTCACGTGGGCCACTCCCCCCACCAAGCCATGAACTGAAAGAACACCTGGAAGCCTCCCGGTCACACCAGCACCAACCCTTGGGTCAGTCAGATGGGACTAACGGCTTAACTTAGGGCATTTGGTTCAGAAATATGACTCTCGTTACCGCAGAGTGGGTTGTTTTTTAAGGCTATTCATACTGCTATGCAGAGGATGCCTGTAGGTTGGCAAGCTGTTAAAAGCCCCCACTATTTTTTAAAATAGGCCTAATGTCAGGAGCCTCTTAATGTCTAGTTCTACATGTATTCACATTATATGGACAATGTTTCCACCTAGTGAAACTGAAGGCTGCACGAAACTCAGGCTACAATACGACCATTCTGTTCTGCTCTAACGATTCAATTGATAGATTCTACATCAAAACAATTAGCTTTTATTGTTTCCAATGATAACGTCATTTTAAGAGAAGGAATGCAAACCTGTTTTCAAATGTAAGGTTTTGAATGTGTTTGACATTTCTCAGTAAAAACACCCTCAGACACTCACTATCATTCATGC